GCAGAGCACCCTTCACTGCTAGAGCATTCCTGATAGAAGTCCTCACTTGGCTCTATATCAGCAGCTAGAATTAATAATGAGAGAATATTAATATTATTATATAGTACAAAAAATAACCTTAAGCAAGATATTATTCCATCTTAATTTTCCTCTAAATTTTCACAAGTAAAAAATAATGTCATTAAAACATTTGAAAGGTTAATTGTCTTGAAAAGAGCACATACACTGATTATGACAATTTAGAGCATGCATTAATCACACAACTAGTTCAATATTGCAAATCATGTATTTTAGATAATAATGTATCATAACATCTGCATCTTAAATGATTTTATACTCAGACTAGTATTATTGAAATCTACAGTGTTTACCTCCCTGAGCCACCAGAGATTTGCAGCTAATATCTTGATCATCATCACTATCATCAGAATCCTTATCTCCACTAGCTCATCATCTACGAACAAACAACAAGAGGACATAAATTTGAGTTATCTACATGTAGTAACCTATTTTCCAAATTACTTAGATTATTAAGACGATCAAATTTTAAAAGCTTAAATGTTAATTCTCCCATGTTAATTACTACCTTGCTGACTGAGTGAACACGAAGTAATATTATTTACAATATGGACATCAAAACAGCCGGTAAATAATATTTTTATTTTTTTATTTGCATTTTATGCAACTCTGCTCGTAGTCTTTAAAGTTTTTAAAGCATACAATTTGTTTGCTTATACCCCAAAATAATAATTTTCCTGTTGACAGTCGGTATTAAAGAGTTTATTGAGTATTCTTATAATTGTATACTACATGTATTTAGCACAAACAATTCACACACATTTTCACTTTCAGTAAACTGATTTAACTGAGAAGTTTTGAAGTGTATCCACAGGCGATTCAAACCAGATTTAAACCTACTTGTGGTTCATATGAAGAAGTAGAATTGATTTTTGAGTACCAAAAACCGCTTGATAGTGCACATAATTATAGTAGATAAACCCTTCTGGCGGCTGGGATATCGGCTGATAATGTCAGAGGATGAGAAATGGTCCGAAAAATAAACATTCGGCCGAGAAGCGTAGCTTATTCTTATRTCCCAACGGATTCATTTTGTTGTGTTGACGAAGAAAGCCATCAAAGTGCAAGGTAAAATATACACACGATGTGATCGGTTTACAGTAATTTTCTCGTTATTTGTTTGGTTAATCATTGACAAGTGATTGAACAAGGCGGCAAAACTCTCTACTACAAATTCATTGCTGCGTCTAGCGTAAATTATAGGTCTTTTTAGATACAAAACTTACAAAATGAGTGTCTTTAGTTATTTTACTTAGTAAAATCGATACCCATTAAACAACGTAGAACTTGCGAAATTAAGAGACGCAGATCCAACTAGCGAGTGAAAATTTTGGTAACCAAACCAGCATTTTTTAGTTCTTTAGTTGCCCAACATTTGATAGTAATTTTCTTCATTCGGAAGTTAGTAATCAACTCKTAAATAAATATTGAATTTTTCCACCGGATATAAGCTTATTTTAAACATAAAATCTCATGTTAAGATTTATGGTTAAGCTAAACCGGCAACCTGGACAGTCCTTTACGCACATAAGCTATCCCTGGATATAACAAGCTAAAAGCTACTATAAAGCCACATATGGTTAGTCTTACCTGACGTTTTTCTCCTTTTCCCTTCAGTACAATTTTTCTCCTTTTCCAATTCTGATAATTTTTCTCGCAAATCTCTTTTTTTCTGACGCTCATGTTCTCTGTTTTCCTCGGTAAACTTCTCTCTAGAAACCCTTTTTCTTTGACGTTCAGATTCTCGGTTTTCTTCACTAAAATTCTCCCTCAGTAACCGTTGTCTTTGGCGTTCATTTTCTCGGTTCTCTTCTGTGAA